ATCAACCTACCCTTTACATGCCTTGAAATTTATATTTCGGAACTGATAAATTAGAACTTTCTTTTTAAGAATGTTTTATTTAATAAAATTGTTTTATTTTTCAAACTTGGGTTTTGAAAAAAAAAATTGTCTTCATTAGAACATAGTCCAAACCTTTTAATAAACACCCTCAACTAAAAAGTAATTATATTTTTTAATCTTTCCTTAATCTTTAAATAAAATAATGTGTTTACCGATTTGCTTATCCGTAGTACAAACGAATTTTAATATGTTTTTATCTTCATAAACGCTAAACTAGTAGTTTAAAAAAAAGACAACAAAATTCTGTTTAGAAGAAACTATATACTTATTTTCATTACCATAATTTTTACGTTATTTCGAAAAAAATTCTCATAACATTTTACTCTCCCCAATTCCTCCCCATAACTGCGAAAAATGGAAATACATATATTTCCTTAATTTTAAATAAATGTTAGTACCTATTTTACCTTTCGGACATATTTAGATAATCATTGGTATATCCTAATATAAATGGACTCGAATGGAATTTTTTAAAAGAGTAATCATTGGACCACTTTTCATGACCGTAAAGCGATCACATTTTAAGATATTTATAGCAACACAGAAATGCTCCCTCCCATGTTTTCCCCCCTGCCTGAAATATTTTATGGCGATTATAATTAAATAAATGTACATTATTTTTAAAGTATGTATATTATAAATATTTTCGATATTGTTACTTGTTACCCTAATCAAAATGTAGTTACCCCCTTTCCTCCGTACTAAACAATATATTCAGGAATGTGGACATTTCTATCTTTTCATAGTTATGAAAAAAAAACACCCCCCCCCCTTTTCCCCCGCCCATCACCATTAATAAAAATTAGGGGTTCCCAAAGGGGGGGGGGGGGGGGTTACCGCGCTCATGGGGTGATAGGATTGCTGAGTGGGGCGCTGGAAGCAGTAGCGTAGGAAGAGAATACCTAGGGATGACGGAACTCTTCTTCTTTTGAATTTAGGGGTAGCATTTTCGGCCAATGGCAGAGCCTTATCTTGGAAAGTGGTGGGAAAATGTTTTCCCGTCCCAGCCGGCACAAACGTAGCTACAACATTGATGGGGAGGCTTGTGAGATTTTTGAGAAACCTGGATTTATTTAAGTATTATTTACTGTTTTGACTTTTAGTGTCGAATAACAGTCGAGGGTCGATATCACATTATTCTTTTTTTCACACTTGCAAAGAGAGAAAAGACCTTAGATCTAAATTCCAAACAGTCCCAGTACGTTGAAAGCAACTGCAACAATGTACCACGTTAACATTTTTGATTTTCTATTTGATATTTAGCATCTCAGGATTGTGACTCTGGATAAATTGAGCAAACACTGTGTGGATTACGACATAGCGTAGAGAAATGCTGATTTACGTAATTTAGATAGTTGGGACTTTCTAAAATTATGGAAGTTCCTGGGACAAAATTATTTGTGTATTAATACAACTTTTACAATGTCTTCAATTCATGTACCACCGGCACATTCCTTTTTGAATGCTAAGATTGCGTACACAACCGGCACATTCCTTTTTGAATGCTAAGATTGCGTACACAACCGGCACATTCCTTTTTGAATGCTAAGATTGCGTACACAACCGGCACATTCCTTTTTGAATGCTAAGATTGCGTACACAACCGGCACATTCCTTTTTGAATGCTAAGATTGCGTACAAAATAATGTTGGCAGTGCTTGTAACCATAGCTAGTACCCATTTAAAGTTGGTAATGAATGGACTGGCAAAATTATCCACTGAACAACATTGTTACTAGCCCCGAGAAAAATCAGTGAGATCTCCTTGTGCGAAGTTGCATACCCCATGCCCCCTCCCACTTTTGGACCAAGCCATGTGGACGAGGCCGTTGGACTTGTCCTTTTGTCATCCAGACCCAAGAAGAAGAAGACAACGTAAGGGTATTTTTCAGATAAGCGACAGTTTCTTCTGTACTATACGCAGTGCTGTCTACGCCATCGTTTTTACCCGCTGCCAGATGGTGTATCTAGGTGAAACTGGACGCCGTCTCTCGGACAGATGCACTGAACACCGCCACATATATTCCGCAAGATAAGCAATGTCCCATCTGAAAACACTTCAACAGAAGGGACCACAGGTGCTAGAGGGTTTGCTATCACCGCAATTGTGACTTGTACAAACACGCCAAACCGGGAAAAAACAGATTCAGACTTATGGTACATGTCATGTATGTCATTTTCTCATTAACTTGTTAAACATTATCTCCACCCCTCCTCGTTACGACCAATCGCAGTAGACTTACTTTTCCTCTCTTCAATTCCATTTTGCCTGTATTAACTCTCTCGCCTATATCTGTTGCTATATATAGCCTGGTACAGAGTAGAGCTTGGCTTATTTTTGAACATAGAGCTATTTTAAGCCATCACCACTTGTTTGCTAGTATGACCTTGATATTGACGTCACCGAGTAAATGTGCTGTGTCACAAATTCCTTTGACCAGGAGCCACTGATCATGACCTTTGACTAGAGGGCCATGTTAAGGCCCGCTTGTCCTCACCTTTTTTAGACCCGCTGGCTCACACTCTATCCACACCTACCACACGTGGTATTGCGCTATTAGGCTGGGCCTAACATTCATAATAATGACATGAAAAATGGAAATTAACCTGGTCACCTTGATCGTGACCCAGCTTAAACAATGCACTCGTTCTGGTCAAGGCGTCCCAAGTGATGAATGAGAGAAAACAGGGCACATAAAAGCAACATAAAAAGTAACAGGCCGCTGATCATGACCTTTGACCAGACGGCCACAGATCATGACCTTTGACCAGACGGCCACTGATCATGACCTTTGACCAGACGGCCACTGATCATGACCTTTGACCATACGGCCACTGATCATGACCTTTGACCAGACGGCCACTGATCATGACCTTTGACCATACGGCCACTGATCATGACCTTTGACCAGACGGCCACTGGTCATGATCTTTGACCAGACGGCCACTGATCATGACCTTTGACCAGACGGCCACTGATCATGACGTCTAAGAAATGTCAAATCTACTTAAATAAATCCTACATGTTTTCCCAGCTTAGCTTTCGATCCTTTTTTTATTTTTATGTCAATCAGTTGACCCACATTTTAAACGTAGAATATGTCAATCAGTTGACCCACATTTTAAACGTAGAATATGTCAATCAGTTGACCCACATTTTAAACGTAGAATATGTCAATTTTTAGTTTAGTAAAATACAGCTAGACCACAGCAAGGAGTCGACATGCCGGCATTGCACGCTGTCCCAGGAGACAGTGGCGTGTCTGAGTGCCCTGAGCGCCCTGAGTGCCTTAAGTGCCCTGAGTGCCCTGAGTGCCCTGAGTGCCCTGAGTGCCCTGAGTGCCCTGCACTTGATGTTGCAGGGTAAGGCCAGTGCAGCGGGAGAGTCCTACGTCACAACCATGTTATAGGGCACTGCCCAGCAGATGGTGCAGGTTGCCAGTGTCCTGCCCGGGAATTTGGAGAGCGTAAACTCAAGCCCCACCAGAATATTTGAGTTATTTATTAGCATACTTATAAGACTGTGTATAAATAATTGCATTGTCTACTTACCAATATTGATCGCTGGTGAAAAATTCATAAGCAATAGAATACAATAAACACAAACTTGAGTTCTTAGATAGTACGATCCTTTGCTACCATGGAACAAACTCAAGCGGCACTTTGATACAACACTAGCAGCAGCTATCCCCGACATTGACTTCTTTTTGTGTATTGTCTTTTAAACATGTGTTTAAACATTGAAACAAGAAATCCACCACGAATAAACACATCAATAAGGCTAAATAAAACGTGTTTTAGGAAGACTGTATCAAATTAATTATTTTTAGCTCTGTTATTTTGTTTTCGAAGTTAGAATTAAATGAAAGTTCTCAGAAGATGGCGTCACGATCTATTACGCTGAATAAAGATAACTTAACAAAGTTATAGCAGTTTGAAGCTGAAATCTTGACGGTGTTAATTGGACACAGATTACAGTACGATAATCATATCATGATTTAATTCAATGCTTTATCAACAATTTTATCACAAAAGGGTAGCAAAAAAATAGGTGCTAATGACATAATGGACACGCCAGATGGGCAGTGCTTTACTTCCTAACATATTAATGTTCAGTGAAACACGGCAAAACGCTCAGCCGATGATCAAGGGGAAATAATCGCCTTAAGGACTGCCCATAAGCTTCCCTCACATCCCCGCAGCCCCGTGACCCGGTGCCTATAAATAATCCGACATTTGGACATCAGGTCAGCAGAAACGAAAACTGAACCGCGAATTTTGAAACGTGTTCACGAGTTACACATTTTAAGCAGTACATAAAAGATGTAACCAAAAAACAACAACATAAACATAACATTACATACACTGAGACATTACACTACATACACTGAGACATTACACTACATACACTGGGGCCTTACACTACATACACTGGGGCATTAACATTACATACACTGAAACATTGCATCACATACACTGAGACATTACACTGCATACACTGAGACATTACACTACATACACTGTGACATTACATAAAATTACATACACTGAGACGTTACACTAACTACACTGATATATTACACTACAGACACTGAGACATTCCACTATATACACTGAGAAATTATCAATCATACACTAGACATTACACTTCATACACTGACACATTAAATTACATACACTAGGACATTTATTTTCAGTGTGTTTTCTTTTATCCTTTACACACACAAAAAAAAGTATCTTTCAAATCTATATAGGAGTCACGGGTCACGATGCTTCTTGGGGCCCTGAGACAAACAAGTTTGTGAACCTTTATTTTAGAAGAACTTGAAGTGATTTTAACAGTGATTTTGTTACACGTGGAGTGCATCTGTTCTGTTTAAATAAGATGTTGAATTATCAATGTGTTTTAAAAGGAGTTACCTTCTCGTGCGCTTACATTTAACAACTAAGACTGGATGGACGTTGGTGTAGCCCATTTTACTGCTCATTATGTAGACTTTGTAACGCCTTGGTTGGTGTAACTTTACTGCTCATGATGCGGACTTTGTAACGCCAACCTTGACGGAGACTGTGGTACAACATATGGAATATAGACATACACATCGTCCACCATCTTGTTTGAATAAACTTGAAGGGTTTGAGTTTGTGTCTGCTTAAGGAGGGCCGAAGTTCTGTATCGCAATCTAAGCTTGGCAGTTTTTGTCCACGCATGACTGGACAAGTTTGGGTTGACAGAACTCAAGGTTTATTGTTGTGTTGATCATTTCATTGAATAGTTGTCATGGCGAATGAGGATTACAAGCTAGAGGTAGTGGTACAAAACTGCTTCCAGTCTATTGGTGAAGCCCCTCACTGGGAGGTGCCGACCCAAAGTCTGCTGTGTGTGGACATCTTCAACGGCGGAATTCTTCGTTGGCACAGAGAGACGGGAAAAATAGCACAGATTAATGTTGGTGAGTTAAACACAAGTATTTCGAAGAGGATTATTTACTTATTCATGAAACAGAGGATGATTTGATTATGCACATAAATAGATGATTATTTATGATAATACATTTGAGTATCTTGTAAATAGCAAAGAAGTAAGTTTTTTGAACATCCAATAAAATAAATTATTTTTTCATATTAAAAGTTATTACAGTTTTCCTGACCCCCCCCTCCCCCCCCCCACCTACAAATTTAAAAGCGGTTTTCTCTTTTTTAATATCTGTCATTAATAAGAGATTATTTCACCTCCATGCCTCCATTCCTGTTCTTGTAAGATAAGTTGTGTGTCAAACACTGACCAGTCTGGTCCGAGCCAATTGTGTCCAGCTGTATTTGACTACATCTACGAGTCAGCTGATGTTTCATGGGCGTTGCCAGCAAATGCCATCAAGAAATTACTTCTCTATAAAGTTATTTTAATTTTTTTAAGTTAATTATTTGACTTATTAATGGGTTTTTACATTAATTTTTTTTTTCTTGACAAAAAAAAAAAAAGCATAAATTTATAAGAAAACTATTTAATGTGTAATTAGTTGAATAATCATCCTTAACACTCATATTTTATTTTTTTTAATTAATTTTTTTACTTTTTAATTGGTTTTTTACTTAAATTTTTTTTTTTTTTAAAAAAAAAAAAAAAAGCATAAATTTATAAGAAAACTATTTAATGTGTAATTAGTTGAATAATCATCCTTAACACTCATGTCTTCCTTTGAACAAAACAAGATGGCAATATCGGCTTTGCTATTCCCCGAAGTCAGGGTGGCCTGATAGTCGGACACAACAATTCTTTGGCCACTTTGGACTTTGAGACCAAAAAATTGGGAGTTCTGGCAACCGTGGAAGATGGAACCGGAAACAGATTTAATGATGCTAAGTGCGATGCCTCGGGCAGACTCTGGGCAGGTATGTTTGGCTTGAAGGCTGGGGGCAAGTATGTTTGGCTGGAGGCAGGTATGTATGGCTGTGTGCGTGTATTTGTGGCTGTGGCAAGGTATGCATGGTAATGGGCAGATATCGAATGGTGAGATATTGAGACCACCCATCCCATGCAGACATTGGACATAACACATTTTGTTCTGTGGTCAGTGTGGGTCAGTGGGTCATGCCAGTCATAGTCATGGTCTTGGTCTTTAATTCGGGAGTCCACTATGAATATTAGTAATAAAAAAATCTAGTTATAACATTGTTAGAACATTTTTAGCTATTGAACAGCGATATTGATCACAAACTATTTCTTAATTTTTCAGCAAAATAAAGTATCCTATCCAGGGATTATTCAAAAGATGAATGTTGTTTGGCCTAGTTACTTCCCAAATCCCTTTTTTTTCATATTTAATTTTTTTACATTTGGAAGGATTGAGCGTTGGGGTGGCTGTGTGGCTGTGTGGCTGCGTGGTTGTGTGGCTGCAAGGCTGTGTGGCTGTGTGGCTGCGTGGCGGCGTGACTGCTTGGCTTTGTGGCTGCGTGGCGGCGTGGCTGTGTGGCTGCGTGGCTGTGTGGCTGTGTGGCTGTGTGACTGCTTGGCTTTGTGGCTGTATGGCTGTGTGGCTGCGTGGCTGTGTGACTGCCTAGCTGTGTGGCTGCGTGGCTGCGTGGATTTGGCTGCGTGACTGCTTGGCTTTGTGGCTGCATGGCTGTGGGGCTTCGTGGCTGTGTGGTAAAAACTCTTCTCCATGCTAGATGGAATGTGGCTGGGTGGCGGCGTGGCTGTGTGGCTGTGTGGCTGTGTGGCTGTGTGGCTGTGTGGCTGCGTGGCTGTGTGGCTGTGTGGCTGTGTGGCTGCGTGGCTGTGTGGCTGCCTAGCTGTGTGGCTGCGTGGCTGCGTGGATTTGTGGCTGCGTGACTGCTTGGCTTTGTGGCTGCATGGCTGTGGGGCTTCGTGGCTGTGTGGTAAAAACTCTTCTCCATGCTAGATGGATGGAGCCGAATTCCCCACCTAAGCCTGACAATTATTATATACGTTTTCTCTCTCCTTACAACCAAACCCCACCAAACCTGAGATGGGGGGGGGGGAGGGTGACTGTAATGGTTTAAATTTGGGGTCGCCGAACCGGGGTCAATGACCACCAGAGCATTTTGTGGGCTTAGTTGCCTTGTTTATCTTACACCAAGAAATATCCAGGATTTTAATCGTTGATATAATCACATTTATTTAGAGGCTACTTCAACAACTCATCGTGTAAATAGACTCAATTGACGGCCACCATTTTTAATGTAAATAGTCAATGGTTTTCTTACTCTCAAATCATGGGAGGACTTAAACCATTTCTACATGGGGTTCATAGCTAAATAAAGACCCGAACCCTGGTATACACACTCCTTGTTGGGCTGATGTGTATCTAGTGGAATATCTCATGGAACTAGTGTCACACACACACACACACGCACACACACATACATACACACACACCACTGTGAGAATAACTCGTACTTCCTTTAATAACTTCACGTTCACATGAGATGAGACAACATTTCTGACAGGTACGATCATCTCGTGGTTCTGTTCTATCTATTTACTCAGCTCCACCGCCAAACCCCTTCTCCTATATCACTTTACGTACCCCCCAACCCCTTCTGTGATAGTGTACAATCAATGAAACAAGAGACGTTATACACTGTTGTACTAATGATTGTGTACAGTACACTTGTTCGTTTCAGGGAAATTAAACTAGAAGCCCTAATATGCCTATTATTCCAATCTCTATTTAAAACTGTTTTATCGAAAAGGTACCATGGGTCCGGTAGTGGCCACAGGAACGCCACAAATGGGAGTCGGCACTCTATACAGCCTGTCACCTGACCACAAACTAGCCAGTCACCTGACAGAACTGAACATCAGTAATGGAATGGATTGGTCGCCAGATAACACTGTCATGGACTACATTGACTCCATGTCATATAGCGTGGCAGCTTTCGACTTTGACATTTCCAGTGGAACAATGAGTGAGTAGTGACGTCATGATGTGAAAATGACGTCATGATGTGAGTGATGACGTCATGGTGTGAGTGGTGACGTCATGATGTGAGTGGTTAATTCACCCAATTGTATGTAAACATTCCAATATTACAAAAGCAAGAAAGTGAAATAATCAAAAGATGGTAATGTAAAAAGATATTTTCTTTATTTTAAAAGTTAATTCAAATAAAATCTATAGCTACAAAAACGAATTGCCCACCCCCCCCCCCGCCCTCAAACTTCCAAAGTGCAGCCCGGGTGCAGTGGCTTCCCTGCCGCCCCCTCCCCAATGTTATCAAACCTCCTCATATGAAAAGTACAATCATCATTTTCATCTAATCCTGTTGCCAAACCAAAGCCGTCGCCTAGGGTTACGCCAGGCTTAAGTATTGTACACATGCAAGCAGATAAGAGACACGTGCAAGTAGATAAGAGACACGTGGAAGTAGATAAGAGACACATGCAAGTAGATAAGAGACACGTGGAAGTAGATAAGAGACACATGCAAGTAGATAAGAGACACATGCAAGTAGATAAGAGACACATGCAAGTAGATAAGAGACACGTGCAAGTAGATAAGAGACACATGCAAGTAGATAAGAGACACATGCAAGTAGATAAGAGACACATGCAAGCAGATAAGAGACACATGCAAGTAGATGAGAGACACATGCAAGCAGATAAGAGACACATGCAAGTAGATAAGAGACACATGCAAGTAGATAAGAGACACATGCAAGCAGATAAGAGACACATGCAAGTAGATAAGAGACACATGCAAGTAGATAAGAGACACATGCAAGTAGATAAGAGACACATGCAAGTAGATAAGAGACACATGCAAGTAGATAAGAGACACATGCAAGCAGATAAGAGACACATGCAAGTAGATAAGAGACACGTGCAAGTAGATAAGAGACACATGCAAGTAGATAAGAGACACGTGCAAGTAGATAAGAGACACATGCAAGTAGATAAACTACGCAAAACAGTTATCTTATTGCAAATAGTTCCAATTATAAACTTGTATTAAGTGATGTTCAGAACGCATTGCATTACACTGAGTGATTTTTATGTTTCTTGTGCATGTTATTTCAGAATCGTGTAAAATTTTTTTTACTAAGAGACAGCTGCAGTCCTTTGATGAACAGATGTGTTAGTGCTTGACAGCGTCGAACGTCGATATGCGTTCAGGTTCTGGACACAAAAAATATATATTCATCGCTTTTCGAATCTGGTGTTATGAAAAATGTGTGTAACTTTGGTCGATGAAGTTTTTAGGAGAATACTCTTAACATTCTTTGACATTTCGACGTCTGCCTTTAAATTCAGTGCACACTCATTGGCAACGGAGATACAAGTCCCACTGCCATATGTCAAACATTCTGTTTCGCAGTCATATCGACATGTACCAAAACCTGGCTAGTGAGTTTTCAGTTCGTCTGTAAATAAACTGTCACGTTTATGTTTTCTTTTTTTAAATCAAGTATATATTTCTTTTTTATTCAACTTGAAAAATTTATTATATATCAATTATGAGGAGCTCGTGTTACCGTTATGTCTACAAACATGACTTCCGGAACAAGAAGTTTCGATGTTTACCCTAGTAGCCCTTACTGTTGAGCTAAATATAGCTGGCACGTGTGTTTAGTTAACGGGACACACAAGTGTATAACACGGAAAAGTAAGTAAGAAAGTAGGCTATAGATGGGGACGGGCAGGGGAAAACCCCGGGACAAAAGACACGGGGACGCCGGGACAGGGTTCTAAAAAGAAGACAAATTTGGGGAAACCCCGATGCATGATAGCCCTTTACCCGCCCCCTCCCCCCCCCCTAGATTCGCCACTGCTTGGCTTTGTTTGATGATACGATCTGATGTTACTACCTTTACAGGTAACAAGTGAGTCTTGGCTGAGTTTGATAACAAGATCTAATGTTACTACCTTCACGGGTAACAAGTGAGTCTTGGCTGAGTTTGATAACAAGATCTAATGTTACTATCTTCACAGGTAACAAGAGAGTCTTGGCTGAGTTTGATAACAAGATATAATGTTACTACCTTCACGGGTAACAAGTGAGTCTTGGCTGAGTTTGATAACAAGATCTAATGTTACTATCTTCACAGGTAACAAGAGAGTCTTGGCTGAGTTTGATGATACGATCTGATGTTACTATCTTCACAGGTAACAAGAGAGTCTTGGCTGAGTTTGATGACAAGAGTATGCTCCCAGATGGAATGTGCACGGACATTGAAGGAAAACTTTGGGTGGCCTTTTATAGAGGGAGCCGTGTGTGCAGACTGGATCCAGAGACTGGTACGTGCTAGAGCATACTTATTTACACGTAATATGTGGGTCTTGTACACAGTTAAAGTACTAGTCCTCAAGTATGCAGATAAAATATGCACACTTAGAACACATTTTTAAAGGCTACGAGTCTTCATGTACTTTAACTTAATTTTATAATGGACATTTCCTAAACTTCCTTTCTTGTATGACCTTTAACCTTAATGTTATGTTTATATTCTAAACTTATTTAAGTTTCAAATCGATGCCATTATCAGGCCAGGGCAAATTAACTCCTTTCTTCCACGGGCTACTATTCATTATTCATAACGACGTCATTGTTTAAATAAATAATACAATGTTTATATTATTTTATGTGCAAACAGGGAAGACACTCCAGACTATTTTGTTTCCCGCGACAAACGTCACTTCCTGCTGTTTTGGCGGGAAAGACTTGGATGAACTTTATGTGACGTCAAGTGTGTACCAAGTTTCAGCAGATGATCTCAAACACAAACAACCCCTGGCGGGTTCTGTCTTTAGAGTTACCGGACTTGGTGTCAAGGGCAAGCCCGCCAACAACTTCCGAGGCTAGATTTGAGACTGGACACACATTTTAGTATTTATAATGGCGGGGCGCCCGATACATGCCGCCCAGAGCTAACTCCAACCCCCAGTTTTTTCCCCTTCCCCTTAAATAAAATATAAATAAATATTTAAAAAAAAGTGTTTGGTAATAAGTTGCCCATACACATTAATATAGAGGCCTTACTTACCGAAAATTATGTTGTAAATTAAAATAAAGGGTTGCAAATAAAATATTAAATAGTTAATTACTCTGTTATTAAATCATCTTTTCATCTAAAATATTTGTTAACTTTATATAGCACCCCATGATTCTTTGTTAACTTTATATAGCTCCCCTTGGTTGCTTGTTAACTTTCAATAGCACTCATTATTTTTTTGTTAACGTTATATAGCACCCCATGGTTGTTTGTTAAATTTCTATAGCACCCCATGGTTGTTTGTTAAATTTCTATAGCACCCCATGGTTGTTTGTTAACTTTATATAGCACCCCTTAGTTGTTTGTTAACTTTATATAGCACCCCTTAGTTGTTTGTTAACTTTATATAGCACCCCTTGGTTGTTTGTTAACTTTATATAGCACCCCTTCGTTGTTTGTTAACTTTATATAGCACCGATTCGTTGTTTGTTAAATTTCTATAGCACCCCATGGCTGCTTGTTAACTTTCAACAGCACTCATTATTTGTTTGTTAATGTTATATAGCACCCCATGGTTGTTTTTTAAATTTCTATAGCACCCCATGGTTGTTTGTTAACTTTATATAGCACCCCTTGGTTGTTTGTTAACTTTATATAGCACCCCATGGATGTTTGTTAATTTATATAGCAACCCTTCGTTGTTAGTTAACTTTATATAGCACCCCATGATTGTTTGTTAACTTTATATAGCACCCCTTGGTTGTTTGTTAACTTTATATAGCACCCCTTGGTTGTTTGTTAACTTTATATAGCACCCCTTCGTTGTTTGTTAACTTTACATATCACCTCTTGGTTGTTGTTAACATTATATAGCACCTCTTTGTTGTTTGTTAACTTTATATAGCACCTATTTGTTGTTTGTTAACTTTATATAGCACCCCTTAGTTGTTTGTTAACTTTATATAGCACAACTTGATTGTTTGTTAACTTTATATAGCACCTCTTGGTTTTTTGTTAACTTTATATAGCACCCCATGGTTGTTTGTTAACTTTATATAGCACCCCATGGTTGTTTGTTAACTTTATATAGCACCCCATGGTTGTTTGTTAACTTTATATAGCAACCCTTGGTTGTTTGTTAACTTTATATAGCACCCCATGGATGTTTGTTAACTTTATATAGCAACCCTTCGTTGTTAGTTAACTTTATATAGCACCTCTTGGTTGTTTGTTCACTTTATATAGCACCTCTTGGTTGTTTGTTAACTTTATATAGCACCCCTTACTTAGTTGTTTGTTAACTTTATATAGCACAACTTCGTTGTTGGTTAACTTTATATAGCACCTCTTGGTTGTTTGTTAACTTTATATAGCACCCCATAGTTGTTTGTTAACTTTATATAGCACCTCTTGGTTGTTTGTTAACTTTGTATAGCACCCCTTCGTTGTTGGTTAACTTTATATAGCACCTCTTGGTTGTTTGTTAACTTTATATAGCACCCCTTCGTTGTTTGTTAACTTTATATAGCACCCCTTGGTTGCTTGTTAACTTTCAACACCACTCATTATTTGTTTGTTAAATTTCTATAGCACTAAATGGTTGTTTGTTAACTTTATATAGCACCCCATGGTTGTTTGTTAACTTTATATAGCACCCCATGGTTGTTTGTTAACTTTATATAGCACCCCATGGTTGTTTGTTAACTTTATATAGCACCCCATGGTTGTTTGTTAACTTTATATAGCACCCCATGGTTGTTTGTTAACTTTATATAGCACCCCATGGTTGTTTGTTAACTTTATATAGCTCCCCTTAGTTGTTTGTTAACTTTATATAGCACCCCATGGTTGTTTGTTAATTCTATAAAGCACCCCTTCGTTGTTTGTTAACTTTATATATCACCTCTTGGTTGTTTGTTAACTTTATATAGCACCTCTTGGTTGTTTGTTAACTTTATATAGCACCTCTTGGTTGTTTGTTAACTGTATATAGCGCCCCTTCGTTGTTTCTTAACTGTATATAGCACCTCTTGGTTGTTTGTTAACTTTATATAGCATCCCTTCGTTGTTTGTTAACTTTATATAGCACCCCTTGGTTGCTTGTTAACTTTCAACAGCACTCATTATTTGTTTGTTAACGTTAAATAGCACCCCATGGTTGTTTGTTAATTTTATATAGCACCCCATGGTTGTTTGTTAACTTTATGTAGCACCCCATGGTTTTTTGTTAACTTTATATAGCACCCAATGGTTGTTTGTTAACTTTATATAGCACCCCATGGTTGTTTGTTAACTTTATATAGCAACCCTTGGTTGTTTGTTAACTTTATATAGCACCTCTTCGTTGTTTGTTTACTTTTTATTCAGCACCCCTCTGATGCTAGGCACAATGTTACAAGTAATATTTAAGTTACCCTTATAAGATTTATTCTGAGACCACACCTCTGTGCAAATCTATATTTAGACATTTTATCACGTGATTGTATTTACTGTAACCTCCATTCGTTATCGAAGAACTAAATTTCCGATGTGAATATTTAGTCCAACCTTCGCAACCCCCATAATAGGTGGGAGAGAGGATTCTTGTTTCTGGCTGTTCATATCTTTCGTGTTACACTAAAATTAAGAAGACCCCCAACCCCACCCCTTTTTTTTCCAGGAAATAAATCCTAGCACATCTTTATCTCTCTTTATTTTTTACGCTGATAATGTAACCCCAGCCCCCAAACATAGCCCCAGACAGATGTCATAATATTAATTATATACACACGCAGCTAGTAGACGTAGACACTGTACACAAGGTGAATTTTAATTAACACATTTAGATAAACTTTAATTTCCTTCGCACTTTAATTCCATTCACCATTTTGACAGAAACTAATTAATGAGACATTGCGCTTCTAACTCGTATCCCCAAATAGTCGTTTCCTTAATCATCATACACGTGGATCTTCGCGAAAACCTCAAGTAATATCCTAGGAATAATTGAAAACAAACCAGGCCTACCTAAATGCTTGTGTTTAAACCAGGCCTACCTAAATGCTTGTGTTTAAACCAGGCCTACCTAAATGCTTGTGTTTAAACCAGGCCTACCTAAATGCTTGTGTTTAAACCAGGCCTACCTAAATGCTTGTGTTTAAACCAGGCCTACCTAAATGCTTGTGTTTAATTAACACCACAACACACACATCACATTCGGAGCTAAAACACTAAAAAATTAGTCGTGTAAGAGTTCGTGTTCTTGAGTGGCAATCAGGCAAGCTGGGTCTTTTCAACATCTTGCATGAGGTACCCACCACTGATTACACTCTTGTAAGAAACAGAGTCATCTGTTAGATAGACACTACCACTATGACGGTGTCTCGATCGACGACATTTCACCAGGAAAGCAGCCAGCACGACGACCAGAAGGATGCCACCGATGACAGAAAATGACGCGATGAGAGCTGTTTCTGTAGTCTGGCTTAGTCCTTTATTGGCGTCATTCTTCGCCACACCTGTTGTAGCTTTCTGTGTCGTGTCGTTGGGGGCTCTGGAAGTAGGTGATGAGAAAGTGGTGGTCCTTCCGGTGACTGTAACGTTCTGTGGTGATGTTGAGTGTAGATTTGGGTTGGAAGATGCTGGAAGACTTGTCGTTGTTTCATAATCTGTTAAAGATTTCCAAGAAAAAGGCAAAGAAATTTATTGATAACTTTGGATTGTACTAGCTGTAGTTACCCGTCGAAAATGAATGTCATTTTTAGCTTAAGGGACTAGCCTAATACAGGTGGTAGCACTGCCCAGTGGAAGTGACTAGCCTAACACAGGTGGTAGCACTGCCTAACTTAAGAGCCTAACACAGGTGGTAGCACTGCCCAGCCGAAGGGACTAGCCTAACACAGGTAGAAGCACTGCCCAGCTGAAAGGACTAGCCTAACACAGGTAGAAGCACTGCCCAGCTGAAAGGACTAGCCTAACACAGGTAGAAGCACTGCCCAGCTGAAAGGACTAGCCTAACACAGGTAGAAGCACTGCCCAGCTGAAAGGTCTAGCCTAACACAGGTAGAAGCATTGCCCAGCTGAAAGGACTAGCCTAACACAGGTAGAAGCACTGCCCAGCTGAAAGGAATAGCCAAACACAGGTAGAAGCACTGCCCAGCTGAAAGGACTAGCCTAACACAGGTAGAAGCACTGCCCAGCTGAAAGGACTAGAGTCGGTAGAGAACTATCAAAACTCTGGAAACAAGTTTGCTTATTTTAGCGGTATAAAACTCCCAAAGTTTAAGAATCTGCTGAAATAAAGCAAATAAACGTGTACCCTTTAAAAAGTTCTCAAGTTATTAAAACAATCACCGTCTTACCCGTGGAGTCCCTGCGGATCGTGATGTCATCAAGGGCAGTAAAAGATCCTCCATCATTCAGAAATTCAAGCTGGGAAATATGCATTCAAAATGGTTTCCTTTGATAGAAACGTTTTCTCTTAATCAAACATTGGATTTAACAATTGCTAGAAATATTGAAGTAGGTTTTATCATATTGTAACAGCATTTGGAGATAAGCAATACAATACTATCTGGTTACATGGTACACTACATGGGTAAATGCAACACTACTTGATTATAATCAACACTACCGCTGAGTACTTGCCATACACTGTACTTGAGTACATGCAACACTATCTGAATACATGCAACACTACGTGAGTACATGCAACATTACCCGAGTTCATGCAACACTGCTTGGGCACATTCAAAACAGTGTCATCACTATTTGAGTACAGGTAACTTTACGTGGGCGATACCATCAGGGCCCACAAAGTTGTATATTGGGTTATGCAACACTACGAGGTACATGCAACACTACGAGGTACATGCAACACTACGAGATACATGCAACACTACGAGGTACATGCAACACTACGAGGTACATGCAACACTACGAGGTACATGCAACACTACGAGGTACATGCAACACTACGAGGTACATGCATTAATATCGGAAAACTAGTTTTTTGTTTGGTAATGGTTTAGGTCACTGCGTAGCGTTTGTAGACGTCCTGACTTGTCAAGCTAGTTGATAGGCTGTCCATATTTAATTTTGTCAAGATAGTTATAGTTGGGAGACTGTCCATATTTGTCAAGATAGTTGGTAGACTGTCCATATTTGTCAAAAAAGTTGGTAGTCTGTCTATAATTGTCAAGTATTCAGAAGCCTAGGATGCACACGTGACTTGAAGACTTCGTTTATTCTGCAGCTGCTGCCTCTCCTAATCCCTACTCTACTGAACTCTCTGACAGTCTTCCGAATGTTGAACTGGATCTGCGAAAATGGAGTCTCTCCTCGTTGTTTGACGTTTGGTGACTGTGATACGAAGGTAGGTGAAACTTTTGACCTCATTAAGTGATTGACAAGGATGTCTTAATCTTTTAAAACTGTATTTTTACGTGTCGCCCTCGTTCTCTTGATGTATTCTTGATCTGAACAATGTGTTGCCTGGTTTGATAACTTGTTTGATGTTTAAAATTGCTCCAGATCAATCATTTCTTATATCACTGTGCTCACGTATCAAAACTAATTTCTATTCCATGTAAATCCAGAAGAGTTCATTTTCAATGCTTCTTCATATCAACACAATGACGCGAAACAAATATTTCAACATAAAACCAAGTTAGTCTTGAATTCAAAGCTTTTTAAAAAGTTTTAAGTTCTGAACGTGCAACCAACCATTGGATTAAATATTTACTTAGGAATAGATTCTGCAATGTCTCATTTTAATGGTATTCTAATAACATCAATCTTTATGTAAATATTCAGTGGGGTTATCAAACGATAACATTCTGGAAACACTATCTAAAACAATGAGTTCACTAAGTAAACAATGAGTTCACTAAGTAAACAATGAGTTCAGTAAGTAAAGAATGAGTTCACTAAGTAAACAATGAGTTCACTAAGTAAACAATGAGTTAACAAAGTAAACAATGAGTTCACTAAGTAAACAATGAGTTCACTAAGTAAACAATGAGTTCACTAAGTAAACAATGAGTTCACTAAGTAAACAATGAACACACTAAGTAAACAATGAGTTCACTAAGTAAACAATGAGTTCACTAAGTAAACAATGAGTTCACTAAGTAAACAATGAGTTCACTAAGTAAACAATGAGTTCACTAAGTAAACAATGAGTTCACTAAGTAAACAATGAGTTCACTAAGTAAACAATGAGTTCACTAAGTAAACAATGAGTTCACTAAGTAAACAATGAGTTCACTAAGTAAACAATGAGTTCACTAAGTAAACAATGAGTTCAATAAGTAAACAATGAGTTCACTACGTAAATAATGAGTTCACTAAGTAAACAATGAGTTCACTAAGTAAACAATGAGTTCACTAAGTAAACAAATAGTTCAGTAAGGGCCGTCCATTAATTACGTCAACGAAGTAGGGAAAGAGGGGGGGGGGTTGAAAATGTTTGAAAGTTGTTGACAAGGGGAGGGAGGGGGGTTTAGATTAGTTGACGTCATTTATCTTGTATTCTCTATTAACATTTTAATCTTAAAAATTGACTGGTTATTACATTATATTAAAAAAATGTATAATTGTAAATGAGTGTAAATAGTTATATAATTTTTAGGTTTTTAACAATATAATATATATTTAATGTGTGTCTGTGCTGTGCAGATGGCTGGTCAGAATGTTAGCACACTTTGTTAGTGCAAGAGAAGTCAAACGTTGGCCTCTCTTCACCTGTAGATTCTGTTGCAGGTATAGAACAAGGACAAGGTTCAATTTTCATGTCCAGTCAAGATAAATGATATTGATAGAGTAGGAATACAATATTTTGAGAATTAGGTGAATGTAAAGTCTGTAATTATAATAGCATCGGTGCTTGAATGGATTTGCAAAATCTGTAACATCTATTTTGCATCACAAGCCATGTTGAAAAAGCATGTTCAACAGCACCGACAATGCCCTCTTCTTGAGCATAAGAAATTAGCACCTGCTCCTCAACAAAAAAAAAAGGATTCGACCAAAGCGAATAGCTGCAAGGAGATAGAGAGAAACAGAGAGAGAGAGAGAGAGAGCGTATGGCAATTATTGCTCACACCGACAAGGCTTCTATTTTAAGTCCTGAATGGTTAGATGAGACTTGTCTGGTATATCAGTGCCGCAAGATGACAATGATTAATCAGCTTGTTAAGTTGTTTATTACTTGAGGCGCCACAGTACATAGTACATTTTTAAAACATGCAAATTCGGGGGGGGGGGGGCAGCAAACGCCCAACCCCAATGATGTCCCTGATGTCCATTGTTATTTTAGAGATGACCTGGCTACTCCATCGAAAAATGATAGCTGCTAGAAACTATACTATAATTGTCAGCTTTACTGACAATATTCATATTAATACCACAAACAATGATATTAAGTCTTTAACAACCTTTCAATTGGTTATAAGTGTAAAAACTGTTTAACTTGCTGATTAACACGCTAAAGATGTAATGAGATGTTTTTCCTACAAATTTGTGTCATTGAAATATATCAGCACAAAATAAAATACATTTATAAATTTATTTATATTATAATTCCTTTTTTTTTTGGGGGGGGGGGGGGGGGGTAGAAAATGTTTACATAATAAAAAAAAGTTTGACAGTTGTTGTAAAGGGGAGGGGGAAGGGGGTCAAAAATTGATTAAAAATTGTTGACGTAATTAATGGATGACCCCTAATTATGAGTTCACGAAGTAAACGATGAGTTCACAAAGTAAACAATGAGTTCACAAAGTAAATAATGAATTTCCTAAGTAAACAATACGTTAACAAAGTAAACAATGACTTCACTAAGTAGACAATGACTTAACAAAGGAAACAATGAGTTCACTAAGTAAACAATGAGTTAACAAAGGAAACAATGCGTTCACTAAGTAAACAATGAGTTAACAAAGTAAACAATGCGTTCACTAAGTAAACAATGCGTTCACTAAGTAAACAATGAGTTAACAAAGTAAACAATGCGTTCACTAAGTAAACAATGCGTTCACTAAGTAAACAATGAGTTAACAAAATAAACAATGCGCTCATTAAGTAAACAATGAGTTCACTAAGTAAACAATGAGTTAACAAAGGAAACAATGAGTTCACTAAGTAAACAGTGAGTTCACAAAATAAACAATGCGCTCACTAAGTAAACAATGAGTTCACTAAGTAAAGAATGAGTTCACTAAGTAAACAATGAGTTCACTAAGTAAAGAATGAGTTCACTAAGTAAAGAATGAGTTCACTAAGTAAAGAATGAGTTCACTAAGTAAAGAATGAGTTCACTAAGTAAAGAATGAGTTCACTAAGTAAAGAATGAGTTCACTAAGTAAACAATGAGTTCACTAAGTAAACAATGAGTTCACTAAGTAAAGAATGAGTTCACTAAGTAAACAATGAGTTCACTAAGTAAAGAATGAGTTCAATAAGTAAACAATGAGTTCACTAAGTAAAGAATGAGTTCACTAAGTAAAGAATGAGTTCACTAAGTAAACAATGAGTTCACTAAGTAAAGAATGAGTTCACTAAGTAAAGAATGAGTTCAATAAGTAAACAATGAGTTCACTAAGTAAAGAATGAGTTCACTAAGTAAACAATGAGTTCACTAAGTAAACAATGAGTTCACTAAGTAAAGAATGAGTTCACTAAGTAAACAATGAGTTCACTAAGTAAACAATGAGTTCACTAAGTAAACAATGAGTTCACTAAGTAAAGAATGAGTTCACTAAGTAAACAATGAGTTCACTAAGTAAAGAATGAGTTCAATAAGTAAACAATGAGTTCACTAAGTAAAGAATGAGTTCACTAAGTAAACAATGAGTTCAATAAGTAAACAATGAGTTCACTAAGTAAACAATGAGTTCACTAAGTAAACAATGAGTTCACTAAGTAAAGAATGAGTTCACTAAGTAAACAATGAGTTCACTAAGTAAACAATGAGTTCACTAAGTAAACAATGAGTTCACTAAGTAAAGAATGAGTTCACTAAGTAAACAATGAGTTCACTAAGTAAAGAATGAGTTCAATAAGTAAACAATGAGTTCACTAAGTAAACAATGAGTTCACTAAGTAAACAATGAGTTCACTAAGTAAAGAATGAGTTCACTAAGTAAAGAATGAGTTCACTAAGTAAAGAATGAGTTCAATAAGTAAACAATGAGTTCACTAAGTAAAGAATGAGTTCACTAAGACTTAAACATTTATAACTTATATTTGCAATATTAAAAAATATTTTCGAAAATTTAATAAATTTAATTTTTAAATGAAGAATGAAAAGGTTTGAAAAAAATGTAGGTAAAAGTTATTGCAAATGACTCATTTATGTATACCCCCCCCCTTTTTTAACTCCCAAATCTAACAACCACGCTGAAAATTAATACAGGCATAGCTCACGATTCAAGTAATTACTTTTCAATAAAATGTTTCTTCTTGAAATATTACATATCTCACCATGAAATCTTCTTCTCTGTCCAACCATAATGTCGCCTGGCTCCAAGAGGGTTCCAAAGATCCGTCAGCTGACCACAGAGTCTTCACTTCTTTGTTGGCATTGACTTTCAACAGACTCAGATTGCCATGATTTGTTCCGTTGATGAAGTACCAGAAGCTCAAGTTAACTTTTTCCGAAAGACTGATGTTTGGCGTAGAAAGACATGCTACATCTACTACTTCCGACAGAAGTTCACTGGCCAATGCATATATATAATGTCCCGTGCCTGGACCCTCGCCTGACGATGTAAGAGAAAATAAATAATGTTAGTATTTTTCTAAGTATTTGCAGCAGTTTCATGCAACTGAAATTGTATGTTGACATAACGAAAGTGATATTTTGTGTGCCCATAGAAATCATCAAGCACTCTGCAATTTTTAGATATCTTAGTTTTAAGTGGAGATTTGGCCAAGGTCCAACTTAACTCACAGCTCTAGCAAAATGAAAGACACCAACTAATTTGAGATCGAATAATAGGTTTGCGCTGATTAATGTGCAGACAAACGGTAGTAAGTCTAATTGGCCTTCTTGCCAATTTATTGGTAATCTGTCCTTCGGTACAAAGCTAGTCACTTGGTTCTCTTTCTAACAACGTGCTTAAATTGTTAACACTATTATTGTGCAGTTAAATCGCTGAAATTACTTAAAATATAACGCATTAAGAGGATCAAGGTTAGCCTATACTTTTTATCTGGCAAAAAGGGGGGGGGGTTGATGGGGTAATAAGCGTCTAAAGAAAAGTGTTTGTTTTTTGCCACTTACCCTTCTTCTTAATTATGTATTAGAGATGCCCCCCCCCCCTCTTGCGGAAAAAAATATCTGAAAGAAACACTGAGAGCAACATAACTGTTAGACGATTCGAAGAAGAGAGCTGTGAGACGAGTGGGGGCAACACAGATTGTATTTATATATATATATATAGATATGTATTCCTCCTTCACATGCGAAGACTTGAGCTGCATTTTGTTTAAGGTGAGGAAGAGGTGCTAAATGTCACACTGTCTGGTCCTTGCCTTTTTTATACAATGACAAGACTCAGTCAAGACGACTTGCAGATATACTAGGATGCAATGGATGACCAGCAGTTGTTTTTTTTATTTCTCACTGTGATCTATTTGCGTTCCGCGTCGCAGAATTTGTCGGAATTTCATTGAACCAATGTCATTCTACATTCGGGACTCCATCTCCAGATCTGACTTCAGAGCTTGCCTTCTCTTATATGAGTTGACATTCCAAGGTTAGAGGGGGGGTCCCATCCACCCTGGGTGATGGTGGTGTTCTTGCTTGTCTAGCTTTTTCGGGGAAATTAACTCCACAATTGACATATTTTCACAACTTAGCCTGTAGCTGGTAAAATAATTAAAGGGGGGGGGGGAGCATAGCTGGTAGAAGGGTGGGGCAACGTAACTGAAGAAGAGTGGTGGCAAAATATCTGGTTAAAGGGGTGCATATATTTTAATAAATTTAAAAAAAAATTAAATATAACTCATAAATTTGTGTATTGTTTAAATTTTCTTTTTGCTTAGAGCTTGGAGCAGTAACAACTTTTCCCAACTCCAGCTCCAGGCAAAAAGACCCAGTTCCAGAATTCAAGGATCCCATCTTTCAATAATTCATTTTTAAAACGAGTTCTTAGAATAGAATATGGAAGTCATATACCTATCGCTGTATTTCGGACATAAGTTGAATTTTTTGGTAAATAATTTAAAAAGTGTCTGCTGTTTTTAACAAAAAATAATTTCTATAGTAGATGAAAACGTTACTCTAAAAAAAAAAAGCTCAATGGCCGGACTACCTTGTTCTTAAGCAAGTGAAGTGCGTATTTTCTTCTTTTTGTGTGTTACTGGCTAGTAAAGAAATAAACCTTTATCATGAATGCCATTATCATAACAGAGAAGCGGCTAATAGAATAATGTCAACAGAACATTTCATTACCGGAGTATGTGTTATCGTCATGAGGAACAAGTGCAGAGAGTCCAGAGACGTTTCCGACACTCCAAGACTCTCCAACACTTTGTGAGCCAGTGACGTTGAACCCGAAACAAATCTTGTTCACCCAAATACACGGGCCACTCTCAAAGTCACATGACACGTTTGAGACTTCTTTAGGTGCTGTAGTTGCTGGTTTTGATGCTGTAGTTGTTGGTTTTGGTGCTGTAGTTGTTGGTTTTGTTGCTGTAGTTTTTGTTTTTTTTGCTGTAGTTGTTGGTTTTGTTGCTGTAGTTGTTGGTTTTGTTGCTGTAGTAGTTGTTGGTTTTGGTGCTGTAGTTGTTGGTTTTGTTGCTGTAGTTGTTGGTTTTGGTGCTGTAGTTGTTAGTTTTGGTGCTGTAGTTATTGGTTTTGTTGCTGTAGTTGTTGGTTTTGGTGCTGTAGTTGTTGGTTTTGGTGCTGTAGTTGTTGGTTTTGGTGCTGTAGTTGTTGGTTTTGGTGCTGTAGTTGTTGGTTTTGGTGCTGTAGTTGTTGGTTTTGGTGCTGTAGTTGTTGGTTTTGGTGCTGTAGTTGTTGGTTTTGGTGCTGTAGTTGTTGGTTTTGGTGCTGTAGTTGTTGGTTTTGGTGCTGTAGTTGTTGGTTTTGTTGTTGGTTTTGTTGCTGTAGTTGTTGGTTTTGTTTCTGTAGTTGTTGGTTTTGTTGTTGTAGTTGTTGGTTTTGTTGCTGTAGTTGTTGGTTTTGTTGCTGTAGTTGTTGGTTTTGGTGCCGTAGTTGTTGGTTTTGGTGCTGTAGTTGTTGGTTTTGGTGCTGTAGTTGTTGGTTTTGTTGCTGTAGTTGTTGGTTTTGTTGCTGTAGTTGTTGGTTTTGGTGCTGTAGTTGTTGGTTTTGGTGCTGCAGTTGTTGGTTTTAGTGCTGTAGTTGTTGGTTTTGTTGTTGTATTTTTTGGTTTTGGTGCTGTAGTTGTTGGTTTTGATGCTGTAGTTGTTGGTTTTGGTGCTGTAGTTGTTGGTTTTGTTGTTGGTTTTGTTGCTGTAGTTGTTGGTTTTGTTGCTGTAGTTGTTGGTTTTGTTGCTGTAGTTGTTGGTTTTGTTGCTGTAGTTGTTGGTTTTGGTGCTGTAGTTGTTGGTTTTGTTGCTGTAGTTGTTGGTTTTGTTGCTGTAGTTGTTGGTTTTGTTGCTGTAGTTGTTGGTTTTGGTGCTGGGGTTGTTGGTTTTGTTGCTGTAGTTGTTGGTTTTGTTGCTGTAGTTGTTGGTTTTGGTGCTGTGGTTGTTGGTTTTCTTGCTGTAGTTGATGGTTTTGTTGCTGTAGTTGTTGGTTTTGTTGTTGTAGTTGTTGGTTTTTGTGCTGTAGTTGTTGGTTTTGTTGCTGTAGTTGTTGGTTTTGTTGTTGTAGTTGTTGGTTTTTGTGCTGTAGTTGTTGGTTTTGGTGCTGCAGTTGTTGGTTTTGTTGCTGTTGTTGTTGGTTTTGGTGCTGTAGTTGTTGGTTTTGTTGCTGTACTTGTTGGTTTTGTTGCTGCAGTTGTTGGTTTTGGTGCTGTAGTTGTTGGTTTTGGTGCTGTGGTTGTTGGTTTTGATGCTGTGGTTGTTGGTTTTGGTGCTGTAGTTGATGGTTTTGTTGCTGTAGTTGTTGGTTTTGGTGCTGTAGTTGTTGGTTTTGTTGCTGCAGTTGTTGGTTTTGTTGCTGTAGTTGTTGGTTTTGGTGCTGTAGTTGTTGGTTTTGTTGCTGCAGTTGTCGGTTTTGGTGCTGTAGTTGTTGTTTTTGTTGCTGTATTTGTTGGTTTTGGTGCTGCAGTTGTTGGTTTTGGTGCTGTAGTTGTTGGTTTTGGTGCTGTAGTTGTTGGTTTTGGTGCTGTAGTTGTTAGTTTTGGTGTTATTTGTCTTTGTGTAGTTGTTGGTCTCTGTGTAGTTGTTGGTCTTTGTGTAGTTGTTGGTCTATGTGTAGTTGTGGGTCTCTGTGTAGTTGTGGGTCTATGTGTAGTTGTTGGTCTATGTGTAGTTGTTGGTCTCTGTGTAGTTGTGGGTCTATGTGTAGTTGTTGGTCTATGTGTAGCTGTTGGTCTATGTGTAGTTGTTGGTCTCTGTGTAGTTGTGGGTCTATGTGTAGTTGTTGGTCTATGTGTAGCTGTTGTTCTCAACGTTGTTCTTATCGTAGGTAGATGAGAGCAGCTGCTGTTGAAGTTCGTTATTTTAATGTAGTCTAAAGAAACTTTCAATGTGTTTGTTCCTTGCCATTGACTCTCAATCGCTAACTGAAATAAAAATTAGATTTATTATTATTCCTTAACTCTTTAATGATAATTACGTTGTTCAGAAAGTAAGCTTATATTATACTGATCTTTATTTTAACAGTGACGACAATTTTAAATCCTTTATATTACCCTCGCTTCTGTTTGTGGGTAGCTAGGTTTTTAAAACCTCGGGGACTAATTAGCCCACTTTCCGTTATGCTATCGAGCTGAAACTGTGCACGTAGACTCGTTGCCAAAGACAACACATTTTTTTTTAAAAATTTTCAGTCCCACCCCTTAACCACAACCACCAATAATATAATATAATTCTAATAAGAAAATGCGGTTTAAGCCAATCAGTGCAGCGCAACTCCATAGCTAAATAGCATTCACCAATCCACTTATACCTCATATAAATATACAAAAAAGAACGAACCATATGAAGTTTTAGTTTGGGTATGGAAGGGTATGGAAGGGACTTCAATCCGGTGGAAGATTTTCGAAATTTATTTAAATCTGGGTGGGGGGGGGGTTGGTCACTTTGCCCCAGGAAGCAAAGATACGTCTCAAATTAAAAGAATGGATTTGATAAATAATTAACCTCCTTGGGTACATACATTTCGGAGGTAGGAAATAGGATGTGTACATTTTCACGTGGATGACAATATATTTAAATTCTATGGTATTACATTTTAAAAAAAAGATTTTGCATTCTCTTTTTACAAATATGTGTGTGTTCATTTTACTCAAGGCAGCGCAAGATACGTCTCAAAATAACGGAAAGAATTTGACTAATAATTAATTTTCTAGGGTAAATACATGTCGGAGGTATGAAATAAGATGTGTACATTCTTACGTGGATGACAACAGAGTTAACTCCTATGGTATTACATTTGTGAAAAAATAAGATGTTACATTCTCTTTTTACAAATATTGGTATGTTCATTTTACCCAAGGCAATACAAGATGCACCCCACAATAAAGGAATTAATTTGACTAATAATTAACTTTACATACTTATCTCAGATAGGAGAAAGGATGTGTACATTTTTACATGGATGACAAAATAGTTTACATTTCATCCATCCAACCATCCATATATCCATTTCTTTATTTATCCATCTATCCATCTATCTATCAATAAAATCAAATCTTATCTATCTATCTATCTTTCTATCTATCTATCTATCTATCTATCTATCTATCTATCTATCTATCTATCTATCTATCTATCTATCTATCTATCTATCTATCTATCTATCTATCTATCTATCTATCTATC